TTTACCACAATAAAAGGAAACTTCGCTATAATCTGCTGGCATAAAAAGGTATCACGTTTACATAAGCTCTGGTCCTAAAATACCAATGAATTAAGTTGCTCCCTGCTACCCCTTGAAACATGATATAACCTCAGGCTGTTTACCAAATGAAAATATGTCCAGAAAATGCCTTGATCTAGAATTGTATGTACTGCATCATAGCCCCAAAAGGAGCCTAGCTTGCTCTTTTTTCTCCTGAGCCGTGAAGATCTGAGATACCCCTATGTTTAGGTGCAATATGCTATGCTGAAGAAGGGTGGGGGAGCAGCAGAAATGGTGCTTATCCGGTTAGACCCCTTTAGCAAGCCGGCTGCTTGCAAGCTGGGCAGTGGGTGAAGGCAGCTGACATCTGCACAGATGGGATCTGTTTCCCAGGACCTGGGGCTCACCTTTTCAAATGCTCTTTTAGCACTTGCTGCAAATGAAATGCAATCAGTCTGATAGCTGCACAGCTCTCCCTTGAAACAAGGACGAGAATCTTTTGAAAAGCACAGGCCAGGAGCGATGGCTCACGCCTGTAATCCTAACACTTTGGGAGGCCGGGGCGTGTGGACTGCCTGAGCCCAGGAGTTTGAAACCAGCCTGGGCAACATGGTGAAAACCCTGTCTCTACTAAAAATACAAAACATTAGCTGGGCAGGGTGGTGCGTGCCTGTAGTCCCAGCTACTTGAGAGGCTGAGGCAGGAGAAGGGTCTGAATCTGGGAGGCGGAGCTTGCAGTAAGCTGAGATCGCACCACTGCACTCCAGCTCACACCTGTAATTCCAACATTTAAATCATTCATTTAAACTTAACATATTTAAAGCACATGTAATGTATATCTTTTTAAAATTTTCTTACCTTAACCAACATTTGTGAATGATCAGTTATGATTATAACAGAAGGGCCTCATAAATACCTTAACCCAGGCTAGTTTGCCACAACCATTTTCCTGCCAAAGGCAGGAGCAGATCACAAGCCAGGGGACAGCAAGAGATAAGGAGAGAAGATGAGAGAGGGAGAAAGAGGATGAATGAATGAATAAGTAATAAACTATATTGGAAGAAGACAACACAGAAACGAATCGATCATTTGATGGTTGAAAATGGTAGAAAATGCTGAGCAGTCATGAGAACTCTTCATCTGAAACTGGCATCCCTCCGCTCCACCCAGCTGGCATGTCAGGGACATGCAGTTTGGTCCGCAGCAGGTGGGAGGGTACTGCAGCAGCACTAGAGAAGAGTCCACGACAGTCACAGGACCACTGCTACTCTTCCAGCTGCTTCTTTTGTTTTGGTTTTGTGGTCTTGTTTTGTGTTGTTTTGTTTTTTGAGATGGAGTCTCGGTCTTGTTATGCAGGCTGGAGTGCAGTGGCTTGATCTCGACTCAATGCAACCTCCGCCTTCTGGGTTCAAGCGATTCTCCTGCCTCAGCCTCCCAAGTAGATGGGACTACAAGCACCCAACACCACGTCCAGCTAATTTTTTGGTTTTAGTAGAGACGGGGTTTCACCATGGTGGCCAGGCTGGTCTCAAACTCCTGACCTTAGGTGATCCGCCCACCTTGGCCTCCCAAAGTGCTGGGATTACAGGTGTGAGCCACCACGCCCAGCAGGTTTTTGTTTGAGACGGAGTCTCGCCCGGTCTCCCAGGCTGGAGTGCAGTGGTGCCATCTTGGCTTATGGCAACCTCCACCTCCTGGGTTCAAGTGATCCTCCCACCTCAGCCTCCCAAGTAGCTGGGACCACACACAGCTGCACACCACCACACCTGGCAAATTTTTGTATTTCTTGTAGAGGTGGAGTTTTGCTGTGTTGCCCAGGCTAGTCTTGAACTCCTGAGCTCAGGCGATCCACCCGCCTCGGCCTCCCAAAGTGCTGGGATGACAGGCGTGAGCCAGCGCACCCAGCCCCGGCTGCTTCTAACTGTTCTCAGTTCCCGCTCCATCTCAGAACATCTTTCCCAATATGACATGTGATCATGAAATATAAGACCCATCACAGGGGAGCCAGAGATTCCAGACAATCTCACAAAGAAAAAATGAAAATAAACCAGAAGATGAAGCCAGAAAATGGAAGAACTACTGATTTCCCATCTAGCTCTTCATCTTTTAAATTAACAACTACATATTTCTGGACTTTAATATCACATTATATCTAAAAACAGCAAATGTGGCCAGGTGGGGTGGGTCACACCTGTAATCCTAGCATTTTGGGAGACCAAGGCAGGAGGATCACTGAAGGCCTGGAGTTCAAGACAGTAACACAGTGAGACCCTTTTTCAATTTAAAAAAAAAAAAAATTAAACATTTGGCTGGGCATGGTGGCTCACACCTGCAATCCCAGCTACTTGGGAGGCTGAGGAGAGAGGATTGCTTGAGTCCAAGATGTTGAGGCTGCAGTGAGCTATGGATGCGCCACTGCACTCCAGCCTGGGTGACAGGGCAAGATCCTGTGGAGGAAAGAGGAAAGAGGGGAGGGGAGGAGAGGGGAGGGGAGGAGAAGAGAGGGGAGGGGGGAAGGGAAGGGGAGGGGAGGGGGGAAGGGAAGGGGAGGGGAGGGGGGAAGGGGGGAAGGGCGGGAAGGGGAGGGGGAGGGGGGAGGGAAGGGGAGGGGGAAGGAAGGAGGGGAGGGGGAAGGGAAGGGGGAGGGAGGGGGGAAGGGGAAGGAGGGGAGGCGGAGGGGAAGGGAAGGAGGGGAGGCGGGAGGGGGAAGGGAAGGGGGAGGGAGCGGAGGGGGAAGAAGGAGGAGGCGGAGGGTGGGAAGGGAAGGAGGGGGAGGCGGGGAGGGGGAAGGGAAGGAGGGGAGGCGGAGGGAAGGAAGGAGGGGAGGCGGGAGGGGGGAAGTAGGTGGGGGAGGGGAGGCGGGGAGGGGGAAGGGAAGGGGAGGGGAGGCGGGGAGGGAGGTAGCAAAGGGGAGAGGAGGGAAGAGAAAAGGGCAGCATCAAAGGCCCCATCCACACCTGGTGAACCAGAATCTGCACTTTAAGATGGCTGCTGGTTAGCTGAAGGCTAAAGTTTGAAAAGCGCTGCTCTGAGGAGTGGTTAGAGTCCAGGACTTAAATATATCCTAAGCGGCCGGGCGCGGTGGCTCACGCCTGTAATCCCAGCACTTTGGGAGGCCGAGGCGGGTGGATCACGAGGTCAGGAGATCGGGACCCTCCTGGCTAACACGGTGAAAACCCGTCTCTACTAAAAATATAAAAAATTAGCCAGGGGAGGTGGCGGGCGCCTGTAATCCCAGCTACTTGGGAGGCTGAGGCAGGCGAATGGCGTGAACCCGGGAGGTGGAGCTTGCAGTGAGCCGAGATGTGCCACTGCACTCCAGCTTGGGCGACAGAGCAAAACTCTTGTCTCTAAATAAATAAATAAATAAACAAAGAAATCCTAAGCACTTGAGATATATTTGCTCTTTCCATCTCCTGGACAATCCTGAGGCACAGAGGTTACATTAATCTCCCCAAATCATACGAGAAGTCTGAGGCAGCGTGGGAGTGGGAAGCAGGCGGCCTTGCTCCTGAACTGCCCCTGCGGCCTGTGGCCTCCCTGGACTCCGCTTCGGTGGACAGGCTCAACGCTCAGAGTCTTTCCTGTCTGAAGCACGCTTGCATCGGATTCGCGGCCACACCTCTGAACTAGTATTGCTGAGAAAAGCATGAATTTGAAACAAATGTTGCAAACTCTGCCCTCTCTACTTATTTTATGATGTTAAGTAAACCACACACCTTCACTGAGCCTCAAGGCCGGGCGCGGTGGCTCACGCCTGTAATCCCAGCACTTTGGGAGGCAGAGGTGGGCGGATCACAAGGTCAGGAGATCGAGACCATCCTGGCGAACATGGTGAAACCCCGTCTCTACTAAAAATACAAAAAATTAGCTGGGCGTGGTGGCGGGCGCCTGTAGTCCCAGCTACTCGGGAGGCTGAGGCAGGAGAATGGCGTAAACCCGGGAGGCGGGGCTTGCAGTGAGCTGAGATCCGGCCCCTGCACTCCAGCCTGAGTGACAGAGCGAGACTCCGTCTCAAAAAAAAATAAAAAATAAAAAATAATTGGGTGTACATATGCTTCCCCTGGTAAGAAGTGCTAGGGTTCTTCGAGGCCGAGTTGTGGGAGTTAATGAGTTGTAATTTACGGTGGTGTGTGGCAGGCACTCCGTAAGTGCTCGTTTCCCTCTGTACCCACTGCAGTGAGAATCCCTGAGTCCCTCCAAGACTCCTGAGCACTGCGCCAGGCCCAGGCAGAGCGGAGGTGAACAGAAACAGCCCTGCCTTCCCACCGTTCCTATCCTGGCAGAGAGATCATCAGATGATTCACACTGAAAGCAAACACAGGATGACAATTGCTACTGATTTTGCCCTAACTTTGAATGACACTCTGAATTCCCTGAGTAAACAAGTTAGAAAACGGCCAAATGTAGAAAAAGTTGAATGATACATAAAAGTTTGCGTTTGTGGGCATCGCCAGACTTTTTGAAAACACAAATTTTGAATTTGAATGCATAAAACTAAAGTATACATTCCTGAAATATGTACATATTTTTCTCTCTTGGAAAAAATATGGATAGTTAACCCCAGAAGTCTAACAATGACTATTAAAGTTTCAGAATAAGGTATTCAACTTCAGAATTAACTCAGAAGAGGGTCAAGTCCACAAGGTCTACAGATACTTTGATCTGTTAAATCCCCTCATTTTTGTTTTTCTTAATCTGACATAAGATGTCTATGGATTTGTACTCCTGCTATACACAATTTATGGTGGTGTGAGGCAGTGCAAAGAAATGCTAGCTTCCTAAGGGGAGGCTACACTTAGTCTACCAACTAGCTATCACTAACAGCTTCTCAGCCCTAGAAACAGACTCAAAGGAGTGCCTCAAGCAAAATAAGAGCTCCATTCTTCCACACTGGGCTTCCATCACAGGCCCCTGGAGCCCATAAGTACCCCCAGGCCTCCAGCACAGACCGCTGAGATGGTGGGGCCTTGACTCACCAGCCAGGGCTGAGGGATCTCCGGCAGGGGCATCTGAGGAGGGGCCGGCAGGCTGCTAGCGGTCTCCTGCTTCTGAGCATGGTCTTTCACATCGAAACCTGTAAGAATTAACCAGAACCACAAAACGGGATGAGAATAGGGATGAGAATGGTATCACTAGCATCTATCAGTTCCTGAACCCTGTGTTGAACACTTTGCAAATATTTATTTTTTCTAATCCTTTACAACAGTCTTGCAGGGTTAGGTATCATTCTTCTCCATTTTACAGGTAAAGAACCGACAGCTTAAACAAAGTGAAAGAAAAGAAAACGAAAAGAAAAGAAAAGAAAAGACAGGAGAGGAGAGGAGGGGAACAGGGGAAAGGGGGAAGGGGAAATGGAAGGGGGGGAGGGGGGAGGGGGAAGGGGGGAAGGGGGAAGGAGGGAAGGGGGAAGGGGAAGGGGGAAGGGGGAAGGGGGAAGGGGGAAGGGGAAGGGGGAAGGGGGAAGGGGAAGGGGAAAGGGAAGGGGAAGGGGAAAGGGAAGGGGAAGGGGAAAGGGAAGGGGAAGGGGAAAAGGGAAAGGGAAGGGGAAGGGAAGCTAAGAAACGAATGAAAGCACTCATAGATGGAAATGGGGGACATGTCCCTCAGCGCCGTGCTGCGTCTCAAAGGGAAAGCTGCTCCCTCTCAGCTTCTGCTCAGGGCAGGCAGGACTCACCCATGTAGTAACAGAATAAACACCTTCCTGGGAATCAATAAATTTTTATTAAGTATCTTCTTAAAGTCAGATACTGTAACAGCCATACTTTATGGAAGACATGACTGATACAAGCTCACACCTCTTGGGCACTCATATTCAAGTTGGAAAGACAAATACATACACAATGAACTACTAGGAAAGGTGATGAACACGACACCAGTGCAGGTAAGAAGAAGGGAGAAGCAAGTTTTAATCTGGGCACAGTACTCTTTATACGCCTAACACTCACTTGGAAAGGCCTGTAAAAATACTGACTTAACAACGACCACTTATAATGGGTTCAGTACTACACTAGAGGCCAGGAATTGAAACACGGAAAGACCCAGTGTCTGAGCCCCAGGAGCTGCAATGGAGAAAAGAACTTTGGTAGAGAACTGCAAACAAACAAGCAAACAAAAGCAAGAAAGGAAAAGGATAAATGACACATGCATACACAAAATCAATAGATCAGTTTAAAGCAAATTAAAGAGCTGAAGAAAGAATTCATGAATTGAAAAATATCAGGAGATTCATCCAGAAGGAAGCGTGAAGAGACCAGTGCCGGAGCTCACTTGGCAGGGGAAGAGAGGACAGGAAATCAGGGGAAAGCAAACGGCCATCAATAGCTGACATATGTCCTATGCATCAGGCACTGTTCTGAAATATTTGATACCATCTCATTCAATCCGCACAACATCCCATAAGGTCAATACCATTAGCACTTTTTCTACAAGGAGGAAACTAAAGTAAAAAGAAGCGTAAGTAACCTGTGAAAGGTTGCACGTTCGGTAACAGGTAGGGCCAGAATCAAAAAGCCAGTTTAACTTTGGAGTTCATACTCATAACCACCTATGACAAAGGACCTTGCAGGACGGCCGAAGGAGTCTGACTGTGACCAGAGGCAAAGGCTGACAGATGAAAGAGTCTGAGCAGGGAGGTAACAAAATTACTTCAGAAGTGAACATTTCAGGCCAGGCGCAGTGGCTCATGCCTATAATCCCAGCACTTTTGGAGGCCAAGGCGGGCAGACTGCTTGAGCCCAGGAGTTCAAGACCAGCGTGGACAACATGGCAAACACTCAGCTAAAAAAATAACCTAGCTGGGTGTTGTGCTGTGCACACATGTAGTCCCAGCTACTAGGGAGGCTGCAGTGGGAGGATCACCTGAGCCTGGGAGGTCAATGCTGCAGTGAGCAGTGATCACACCACTGCACTCCAGCCTGCGTGACAGTGAGACCCTGTCTCAAAGAAAAAAAAGAAGTTAATATTTCATATTGCCTCAGAATAGGGTCCCTATCCTGCTTTCTCATCTGAGTAACAGGCCCCATCGCCCACCCAGGTTTCCCCAAGCCACCTACGTTCAAACTTCTACCAAATCCTTCAGCCCATCTTCCAGACTGGCCAGGCGAGCTTTCCAGAATGCAAATCTAATCGTGTCATACATGGCTTCATATACTAAGAGAATTCATATAAAAGTATAAATGAATTGTACACTGTAAATGGTGACGTGTATGGCCTGTGAATCACATCTCAATAAAGAGGCTGAAAAGAAAAATCCTCCATCTCATCCAGCAGATTTATCTCCACAGAGTCCTCAAGATTCTCACATCACATCATCCAGGAACTGCCCCTCGGACCCTCCGACACCCCAGTCTCTCACTCAACTGCTGTGGACTCACTTCTCAGGCGCTCTCATGAGGCTCTGGGCTCTCCACAGCAGTACTTAGCAGGATTTCTTATTGCCTGTTTTTTTTGTCCTACTCACTGTGCATGAAAGAGTTAACACAGCAGGCCCAAGGCTGCTCTCTCGAGGGGCCTGCTTGCAAGGCTGGCCCTGGCTGGCCTCTGGGAACGTGGATTTCCGAAGTGCTCCCACCATTCCCTGATGGACAAGGGTGGTTCACTGTGCCTGTACTGTTTATGTAAACAGCACGGTTGTGCTGAAACCCCGCCTGTCCTGGAATTCTGGCGTGTGCTAGGCAGAGGGTGCCTAGAGGACCAGACCCAAGTACACACCCTGGGCACTGAGTCTCTGACAAGCCTGAACAAAAACGTCACTCAGAGCTTGCTGCGTTTTTATTGCTGAAGAGAGAGTGTGCTCTGTGTGACCCTCGTGGGAGGGACAGAACACACAGAAGCTGTGGCCTATAGGTTCCTGCACGTTCCACCTGTGTCTTCTCCCTTCCGATCTGCCCGTCGGGCTGTGCATCCTCACTACGGCTGCAGTGCATCCTGCACGTGAGAAAGAACAACCCGTCCGGTGAGTCCTTCCAGGTAATCTCCAAACGCTGGGGTTGCCCTGGGGACTCCCAACACATGATTCCATTAGCTCCTTCAAAGCTTTATCTTTCTACACCTCGAGGCCAACAAAGAACTTGGCACAAGTGTAAACCCTCAATGAAAACTTGATGAAGAAATAAGTTTGTAAGTTAAAGAACAAATAAATATATTTTAGAAAGATGGTAAAATTAAAGACGGTTTAGAAGCCAAGACACTGTAAGAAGAAAAAGCAGGCGTCAGAATGAGACTCACCTTTGGATGACTGTATCCTCAGCAGAATGTTGGTTATCACTGCCTTTTTCTCCCTGACAGTCGAGGTTAGATATTCATGGTCCAGGAGTTCAAGAAAGAGACGAAGTTCAACTATTAACTCTTCCATTGCTGACAACAAAAGAGAAGAAGGGTATTATTAGACCCAGTGATTTGCAAATATCTAAGTACGAATGTTGAGTCCTACTCAAAGCATTTCATGTTTGGCTTGATCACTGGATATAGTATTCTGACCTGAAAAACAAGTTTGCTGAAAGCAGGTCCACTAAAAGATTCAAGCATCTTCTTCTTAACAAATGCACTACACCTTCCCTTCTGCTTTAAGGCAGCAAAATTCAACTGGGAGAAGCTCCAAAGCCAGGCTGCCAACAGATGGTGTCACAACCCAAAGGCCTGACATCATCATTTGGTGTCAATTCCATGATATTAAATTTCAATGTCAAGAAGGAGAAGGGAGTTTAAAATGCCAAAGAGTTTTCTAATAACCAGTAGGGCATGGCTTCAGAAAGTCAACACCCAGCTCTCTGCTTTTGTAAAGCTGGCTCCAGCCCAGGACAACTGTGAGTATGTTTATGCTGTTAGTATAAAGGACGCCAGATGCCAAGGCCAGGCCGGTGTAAATACAAATTCAGGTGCTGACTTCCCACCATGCCTTTTCCTTCTAGGATGATGGTCGACTTGATTTTTCCTCTGATACCCGCAAGACTGGAATACTGGCTTAGGTCAGCAGTTTGTAGATGATGATCTTAGCCTCTGGGGATGTAAACTCCTCCTTTCAGGGAGCCCACAAAGCCCAAGGCACAAGGCCCAAGGTGCAAGGCCCAAACTATTTTCAGAATGCTAAGATATTATTCACCTTTTTCTGCATTAATGGTGTAAATGCCAGGGTAAAACTGCTAGCATCTTAGCACGAATCAAGGCAGTGACACCAAACTATCCTAGTGGTCATGATATCCTTCACCGTAACAGTTTTGTTCTGGTAAAAAAAAAACTACTTGGGCTGGGTGCAGTGGCTCACGTCTGTAATCCCAGCACTTTGGGAGACCCAGGCAGGCGGATCACCTGAGGTCAGGAGTTCGAGACCACCCTGGCCAACATGGTGAAACACCCCATCTCTACTAAAAATACAAAATATTAGCCGGGCGTGGTGGCATGTGCCTATAATCCCAGCTACTCAGGAGGCTGGGGCACAAGAATCACTTGAACTCAGGTGGCAGAGGTTGTAGTGAGCTGAGATCGCGCCACTGCACTCCAGCTTGGAAGACAGAGTGAGACTCCTTCCAAAAAAAAAAAAAACTCCTTCGTCTTTGACGAAGCAATAAAAAATCATCGCTCTTCTTAAATCTCAACCTTTGAAGACACACCTTTTTTTTTTTTTTTTTTTTTTTGAGACGGAGTCTTTCTCTGTCGCCCAGGCTGGAGTGCAGTGGCGCAATCTTAGCTTACTGCAAGGTCTGCCTCCTGGGTTCATGCCACTCTCCTGCCTCAGCCTCCCAAGTAGCTGGGACTACAGACACCCGCCACCACGCCCGGCTAATATTTTGTATTTTTAGTAGAGATGGGGTGTTTTACCATGTTAGCCAGGATGGTCTTGATCTCCTGACCTCGTGATCCGCCCGCCTCGGCCTCCCAAAGTGCTGGGATTACAAGCATGAGCCACCGCACCGGCCAAGATACACCTTTTTAACGTCCCACTGAATGACATGGGAAGCACACATGAAGCCCTCCTGCATACGGAGTCCCACGGCCGTCCAGAGAAAAATCACTCTGTGAGTGTTTGAGTTCCAAGCTACCCGAAGCCACCTGTTGTACTCAGTACTATCTTTACTGCAAACTGCAGTGACTGAGACCTGAGTACCTGGCAGACATGTTCTCAAGAATGAACACATGAGCTCATCACTTCAAGGTAAACAACTGACAGCACTTGTGGCCAAGAATAGAAGTTGAGTGTCCAAGCAAAAAAAAGAATTTTTGAAACTTTGTATCCACCCCATAGGCGCTTACTGCCTCCTCATACTTGAGGTTTTTCTAATGAGATCAGCAGTGACATGAAGGAGTGTGATTTATATTGCATGATGTCATATGCTGACATTTATTTGGAAGATCTGCACAACTCAGTGAACCATGATGTTACGAAATCATATATGGGTAAAAGATCCACCTAAAGTGCAAAATAAACTAAAATATTCTAATGTAACAGAGGATGGCACAGCTTCAGATGCCACATCACAACTAACCGTTAGGAAACTGCCATTTGTCAAGTTTTGGTGTAATATCAAAGAAGAGCATCTACAATTTTCTAAAAAGGCTACTGAAAAATTTCCCAACTGCCTATCTGTGGGAGGTCAGATTTTCTTCTTTTTTCCTTTTTTTTTTTTTTTTTGAGACAGAGTCTCGCTCTGTCACCCAGGCTAGAGTGCAGTGGTGTGATCGTGGCTCACTGCGAGCTCCGCCTCCCAGGTTTACGCCATTCTCCTGCCTCAGCCTCCTGAGCAGCTGGGACTACAGGCGCCCGCCACCACGCCCGGCTAATTTTTTTTTTCTTTTTTTTTTTTTTTTGTATTTTTAGCCAGGATGGCCTCGAGCTCCTGACCTCGTGATGTGCCCGCCTCAGCCTCCTAAAGTGCTGGGAATACAGGCGTGAGCCACCGCGCCCAGCCCAGATTTTCTTCATGTACTTCCACTGTAATATCTCACACAGTCTGAGTGAAGAAGTAAATATGAGAATCGGCTATCTTCTAAGCCAGATACTAAAGATACTTGCAAAAGTCTAAAACAATGCTACTCTTCTAATTATCGTGTTTTGGTAAATGCAGTTACTTTTCATAAATATATATTATTTATGTTAATATAATAGGTTTATTGATATTTTTAATGAATAAATATCTTAAAATTTGCCAATTTTAATTCTAGTATGGTAAGTACCTACAGATATAATCATATAAATAAAGGTCTTTAAGGTCTTCAAAATATATTTTGAGACCAAAAAGTTTGAGATCTGCTGATGTAGGCAATGACTTTAAGCTCCTCATTCATGTATTCATCACTTAGCTATTATCAGTCATACAGGTCATGCATCTCAACCGACAAAAGCATAATGAAAATGATTCATGCAAAAAACCTAAGCAAAAAAGTTTGAGAGCCGCTGGTCTGTGGGATTCTTCCAAATCCACTATTCTGTAAGTCTATAACATCCTTCAGGATCAAATATCCATACTGAGGCTGCCGTCTACCGCCAAAACTCTCATCATTTTAGGTAAGGGGAAGAGAAATGGTAAATGAGCTTAAAGTAGGTGGATGTGGCACCAGCAGTTCACTCTTCCCAGCTGGGCAATTTTCCCTTCTCTGAAATGAAGAAGTTGGACTAAGTACACCTTTCATTAAGGTCTTTTTCATTAACCAAACAATTTCTTGATTCTAAGCAATCTCATCTATACTTTAAAAATGAACCAGGCATGTTGGCTCACACCTGTAATCCCAGCACTTTGAGAGGCTGAGGCGGGAGGATCACTTGAGCCCAGGAGTTCGAGGCTGCAGTGAGCCATGACTGAGTCAATGCACTCCAGTCTGGGTGATAGAGTCCCTGCCTCTCAAAAAAAAAATGGGGGCCGGGGGGTGGGACGAGGGGCTGATAGCATTATTCAAAATAGTCAAAAGGTAGAAAATGAATAACAAATGAATGGATAAATGAAATGTGGTATATACATACAATGAAATACGATTTATCCACTAAAAGGAATAAAATTCAGACACATGCTGCAACACGAACAAACCTTGAAAATATTATGTTAAAATAGACAAAAAGAGGCAAATATTACGAGTCTGCTTACATGAAGTACTTAGAGTAGTCAAATTCATAGAGACAGAAAGTAGAACAGTGATTACCAGGGGCTAGTGGTGGGGAGAAGGTAGGGTTATTTAATGGGGTTCAGAGTTAACAGTCTGGGATGATGAAAATGTTCTGGAAATGGATGGTGAATATACCTAATGACACTAAATTTTAGACTCAAAAAGGGTTCAAAAGGTAAAATGTAGGCTATGCATATTTAATTTAAAAAGGAAAGAGATTTCACTTGGGTTCCACCTAACAGCACGGAAATATCTGAAGAGAACCTAGGGATGCATCGATCCTAACCGCCACCTAAAACCTGAGCTCCCCCTACAGTGCGACCATGAGGCCTCTGCGCAAAACCCTCCAGAGATCCTAACGCGCCACCTAAAACCTGAGCTCCCCCTACAGCGCGACCATGAGGCAAACCCTCCAGAGATCCTAACGCGCCACCTAAAAGCTGAGCTCCCCCTACAGCGCGACCATGAGGCAAACCCTCCAGAGATCCTAACGCGCCACCTAAAACCTGAGCTCCCCCTACAGTGCGACCATGAGGCCTCTGCGCAAAACCCTCCAGAGCCTGGAGTTTGCCATGGCCCCGGCCAAGGTACCTGTCCATCCTCTCCTATGAGAACAGCAGCCTCAACCACAAGGGGGACTCTCAGCAAGCACTGCTATACTGCAAGGCCCTGCACACCGCCGCCCACTACTAGGTTATGGTTCATTGGACCGTCCAATTCCAAGCTGGTCAGTCACATCTTCCATTCCTCTATCTTTTGCCTCAAGACTAAGAAATAGGATTTGCTTGGGGTGGTCTCTTGAACTGAAAATGTAGAAAGGCAGCAACCAGGGAAACTGCAAGTACACAGGTGCAAAGGACAGAAGCCAGCACCAGAGGACAAACAAACAGAGGTGACACCCTCAGAAGCTGGCACACTGAGAGGCAGGCAGCCCCGCGAGAGAGAAAGTATCTCAGACACCGACCATGCTCCTGAGGCTTTCCCGGGCCTGTTGTTAGCTACTCGGAAAACTGGACTGCACTTGAATTCCAAGAAATATTTGTACCTTCTAATAAATTTTCATTTCACTGTGTTGTTGTTAAGCTAATCCTTTCTGTTCACCTGAAACTGTAACCAAAAGATTCTCCAAACACAGCTCCAGCGCCTCAGAAAGCGAAACGCTCCCACAGCAGAGTTGTAATGGTTAGAAAAGCTCCTCCTTTTTGGGATCTTCACAGACTAAATAAACCATATTTTCTACTTGACAGTCTTTTTCCAAATAC